ACTGAAACAATAAACACAAATAAATATATCAATATATCAATATATATATATATATATATAGCTAAGTATTTATATATATCTTTATATTTATATATTTATTTACAAGTGCACAGGTAGTTATGGGGAGGCAGACATTCGCGTCTACTCTTTATACATATATACACTGCTTGCTCTGTAGGCGCTCACGGGCTGATGCTGCTGCTGTTGCTACTGCTGCTGCTGCTGCTGCTGCTGCTGCAGCTGCTGCTCTAGTTATTTAGAAGGAGGCTTGGTGTGTCTATAAGCGTTTGAAGCTGCCTATACACCCCATATAAATATAAATATAAATATATATATATATATATGCTGTTTGAGGGGATGAGAGAAAAAAAACAAAAGGAGACGCCTGCATGCACGAATAACAACTTGGGGTGTATGCGGAGACACTTCGTTCTGTGTGTCTCTTCTTTGGGTTTTGTTTTTGTGTTTGTCTCTTTTTACTTCATCTACACAAACACTAAGGAGACAGACAGAGACATAAGGAGACATAGAAAGATCAAAGGAGACAAAAAGAGACAGAAGGAGACAGAAGGAGACAAAAGGAGACAGGAAGAGACAGAAGGAGACAGAAAGAGACAGAAGAAGACATAAAAAGACAGAAAGAGACAGAAGAAGACATAAAAAGACAGAAGGAGACAGGCAAAGACAGAAGGAGACGTAAAGAGACACAAGGAGACAGGAAGAGACAGAAGGAGACAGGCAGAGACACAAGGAGACAGGAAGAGACAGAAGGAGACAGGAAGAGACAAAGAGGCGGGCTCCTACGGTAGACAAACATGCAGCATCTGCAGCACACCATATTCTAAGAAAAATAAGCATAAAAGCAGATAATAAAATGAGACACGTGGCTGCACGGCCACAGCAGCAGCAGCAGCAGCAGCAGCAGCAGCAGCAGCAGCAGCTCGGGAGACAGTTGCTGCTCTCTTCTGGGTTTCACCGGACCCCCCATTTGTTATATTTTCTCTGTCTTCTTAGACACACAAATTGTTTATTTAATTTTAAACAAAAATGCATAATGCAGCGCTCAAGCTGCTGTTGCTGCAGCAGCAGCAGCTGCTGCTGCTGCTGCAGTCGCTGCAGCAGCAGCAGCAGCAGCAGCAGCCCAGCGGTCGGCAGCGGGAGTGCAGCCAGCTGGCTGCAGGCTTCTTTGTTTCGCTTGCACCTCCTTTTGCTGCTTTTAAAGAAAAAAGTAAAAGAAGAGGCAGAACAAACTTTTGCGATCTGTACATTTTGTCTCCTTTGTCTCCTGCTGTCTCCTGCTGCTGCTGCTGCTGCTGCTGCTGCGGCCAGCGAGCATTGAGGCCCTGTTGCACCGCCGCCGAGTGCTGCGGTGTCTCCTCTTCTTCTGCTGCTCTTCTGCTTCATAAAGGCTTTATATCGATGCTTTTTGCTGCTGCAGCAGCAGCAGCAACAGCAGCAACAGCAGCAACACAAATACACAAACGCAGCAGCAAACCCCAGGCGGCTGCGGCGACCAGCGGACAGTCGTGCTGCAGCAGCAGCAACCCCCAGCAAACCCAAAGCCCTAAACCCTAAACCCTAAACCCTAAACCCTAATTCTCAATAAGTAGAAACAGCAAGCCTTCGCTACACTTTTTACTTCGCCTCCATTGGCGGTGCAGCCTGCGGTCTGAAGGAGACCGGCTAGCAGCAGCAGCAGTAGCTGCAGCAGCAGCAGCCGCAGCAGCAGCGGCTGCTGCTGCTGCAGCGGCAGCAGCAGCAGTTGCTGCAGATGAGCATTAAGACAAGTCAGAGGCACCACAGATCAGCAGCAGCAGCACCCCCCCAGCCATGGAGTGCATGCGGAGTCTGCAGCAGCAGCAGCAGCAGCAGCTGTTGCTGCCTGCTGAAATCGATGCTGACCGCCTTCAGGCTGCAGCAGCAGCTGCTGTTCCTGCAGTAGCAGCAGGAACAACAACAGCAGCACCAACAGCAGCAGCAGGAGCACCCTCCTCCGCAGCAGGCGGGGCGCCGCCGACTGCCGCAGCGCGCGTGCTGGCTGCGGCCCCTGCAGCAGCAACAGCAGCAGCAACAGCAGCAGCAGCAACAGCAGCAGCAACAACAACAGCAGCAGCGGCTACCGGAGCAACAGCAACAGGAGCAGCAGTAACAGGACCATCAGCAGCAGGAGAAGCAGTATCAGGACCATCCACGAGAGGCACCGAAGCAGCAGCAGCAGCAGCAGCAGCAGCAGATGCATGCCGACCTATGGGTACTCGTTGCGTACCTCTCTCTCGGTGCTGCAGGCTGAAGCTCCCCCCTGTGCTTCCTAATAATATACCTGTTCATCGACAAGGGCTTCATAGCTGTTTCTTAGGACTAGAGAAGCAGCATTTATTAGGTAAAGGAGCATACGGAGAGGTCTGGTGTGTGCAGCAAAAGAGCACAGGACAGAAGTTCGCAGCAAAGCTGCTGCAGCCGCACAAATTTGCTGCGGATATGGCCCCGCGTGTTAGTCAGCTCTTTGAGAAGGAAATAATAAATTTATCAAGATGTCAATGCCCTGGTGTAGTTAAATTGCATGCAGTTGTTGAGGGCTTTGAAGGGGCTTTGCTGCTGCTTGAGCTTGTGGAAGGGGGCACTGTATGGACAGCAGCAGCAAGCGCAACAGAAGCTCAAGCCTTTTGTCTCTTCATACAGCTTCTACAAGCGCTGCTTCATCTACAAGCATGCGGTGTTATTCATAGAGACCTTAAACCTACAAACCTTCTTCTCTCTCAGAATAAATATTTACTTATAGCAGACTTTGGATGGTCAGAGACAGTTGATGCATGCAAACAGCAGCAACTTGAATGGGCAGGGTAATGTTCTTCTCTAATCTACACTGTCTCCTTCTTAATTATATAATTAATCAAATTAAAACAAACTCTTATCTAAACAGATAAATTATAAGATAGACATAAACACATACAGATAGAGACACATAGAGACAGAAGAAGCCAGAGACAGAGATAAAGACAGAGACAGAGACAGACAGACGGAGACAGAGACATTTATTAGTTTATTAATTTAATTTATGTTAATTCTTTGATTTATTTGTTTGTTTGTTTACGCATTTATTCACATACATATATGTATATATACATATATATATATATATTTATTTATTTATATATTTATTGTTTTTGCTTAATACACAACCACTAGTTCTAGCACACAAATAAACACATAAATAAATAAATAAATAAATAAATAAATAAATAAATTAATTAATTAATTAATAAAATGTGTATGAATTGCTGTGCTGCAGAACGCTGGAGATAAACCCGCCGGAGGTTTTGAGTTTTAGGGGTCCTTACACAGAAAAGATTGACAACTATGCATTGGGTATGTCTTTATTATTATTTATGACAGGTAGATTTATATGCCGACAGCAGCATTTATCTTTGGCCGAAGCAGCACCAGTGCTAATGCACGATGTGCAGCAGCTAAGAAGATCTGCTGCTGCTCCTTGTCTCTTTAAAGGCTCACCTCTAGGCTGGGAAGTCTTTGTAGGTCTTACTTCTTCTTCACCTGAAAGGAGATGGTCTTTAGAGACAGTGCTGCAGCATGAGTGGGTAGGGAGACAGTTGCTGCTGCTACCTGCTGCTGCTTACCCTCTCCTGTGGCACCCCAGAGTTAGGGCTTTGATGGCTGAGTTATCAGCAGCAAAACGAATTGTCTCCTTGCAGCACTCTGCCTCCACCAGCAGCAACAGCAACAGCAACAGCAACAGCAACAGCAGCAACAGCAGCAGCAGTGCAGCGGGAGATATCAATACACATACCCTAGCATTGGTCGCGCAGCAAAGAAGGGCGAGGAGACAGCAGCAGCTCTATCATCAGCAGCAGCTGATGAAGCATCAAAGACGCATGCATATGCAGCAGCAAGCCCTTAGACAATATCATCAAAGACGTATGCATGCACAGGCTAATGCTGCTGCAGCAGCTGCTGCTGTTGCTGCTGCTGCAGCAAAACGTACAACTCCTCCTGGTGCTGCAACGCCACCAACAGGAACTGCAGCAACTGCAGCAGGAGCCTTAACTGTAAATCCAGCCGCTGCACCTCTGCCGGCGATGAACAAGGCATCAGCAGCAGCAGCAGCAAATGCAGCAGCAAATGCAGCAGCGCTGCTGCCGGTAGCAGCAGGAGTAACAGTACCAGCAGCAGCGGCGGCCTCACCTGCATCCCCCATCGACCCAGCAGTCGCAGCAGCAGCAGCAGCTGCTGCTGCTGCTACGAGCGAGACAGGGAAGGGGCCCTCTAACAGCAGCAAACAGCAGCAGCAAGTAGTTCGGAGGGGTATATCTGAAGTAAGTGCTTGCTCTACTGCAGAGTCTGTACACTTCACTGCCTTTAAGCTGATGGGGCAGCACCAGGCAGCACTGCAGCAGCAGCGACAGCAGCTGCGCCAATTGCAGCAGCTGCAACAGCAGCAGAAACAACAACAACAACAACAACAACAACAGCAGCAGCAGCAACAGCAGCAACCGAACTTTGCTGCGCAGCCACAAGGCACAACTCGAACAGCCCCCTTTAATCTGCGGCTGCAGCAGCTTCCCTATGCTGCTGCTGCTCCTCTCAACGGAGAAGCGTCCAGCCAAATGTCTTGGCAGCAGCGCGAGCAGCAGCAGCAGCAGCAGCAGTTGTTGCTGCTGCAGCAGCAGGAAGCCTTTAGGCAGCAACAGCAAACTCATTGTAGACAAAGCCCTTTCCGCTGCGCCATCCAGAGACGGCGTTCTCTCGCGTCTCCACGACCGAAAGGAGACAGAGAAGTGCCTTTTGCAAGCCTTTCAAAGCAGCAGCAGCAGCAGCAGCAGCAGCAGCAAGAGCAGCAGCAGCAGCAGCAGGTCCAGGAGACTCCTGAACGAGGGCCCCCAGGGTCCGCTGCAGGCCTCTTTTGGTCTTATGACGCGTTTGAACCAACTGGCAGGAGACAGCAGCTGCAGCCGGTGCAGCAGCAGCAGCAGCAGCAACAGCAGCAGCAGCAGCAGCAGCATCACAGGGCGGGCTCTCTAGAAGAATGCCCTCGACAGCGGAATGTCTCTGGCGTGTCTCCTCAATCTTTAAGCATGCATTCAAAAGGGACAGCAGCTGCAGCAACCCAGCAGCAGCAGAGGCGTGGAGCTCAGCAGCAGATGCTGCCCCTGATGCAGCAAGAGCAGCAACAGCAGCAGCAGCACCGCATAGTCGCAGCCACAGGAAGCAGCAGTAGCTCAGGCCAGCGCGAAGAGCACCGCAACAGCAAACGGGACATCTCCCGAGACACAGAAGCACCTGAAGCAGCAGCAGCAGCAACAGCAGCAGCAGCAGCAGCAGCAGAGCCAGAGCAGATGTCTCCTGCTGCTGCTTGCGTTCGTTGGATTCGCTCGGGTTTAAACGCAGTGGCGGCCCTGGCGACTCCTCGGCTGGTGCAGCGCCCGCCAGAAGCTGAAGAACAGCAGCAGCAGCAGCAGCAGCAGGAAGAGTCAGCAGGCTACAGGAGAGATAGAGACAGCGGCGCCTCTCGGGCGGGAGTCGCCGGTGCTGCTGCAGCGATGCCGGGGGGTTTAGTGCTGCAAGACAGCGCGGGAGAGAGCAGAGACACCCGAAGCAGCAGCAGCAGCAGCAGTGCTGCTGCTGCTGCTGCTCCAGGCGTGGGCAGCAGGCGCTGCCTGCGTGTGGGGCTGAGGGGGACGGCTCCCCGCAGCAGAGACCCAGTTTCATCAGGAGATGCTGCAGCAGCAGGAACAGCAGCAGCAGCAGCACCACCGAAAGCAACAGCAACAGCAGCAACAACATCAGCGACAACAACAACAGCAACAACAGAAGCAACAGCAGCAACAAGAGAAACGAAGCAGCAAGCTGGCGTTGTCCCTGCAGAGGCTCGAGGCGTTGAAGGAGACAACAACTACTGCCAAGGAGCTTCTTCTTCACCACGAGGAGACAGAGACAAAGAAGGAGACAGAGACAAAGATAGAGACGCCGAGAAGAAGAGAGACAGAGACAGTGATAGAGGCAGAAGCACCTCGCGCTGCAGCAGCACGGGCAGGAGAAACAGAAAAGACGGCAGCAGCAGCAGCAGCAGCAGCAGCAGTAGCAGCAGCAGCAGCAGCAGCAGCAAGAGAGGGCCTGAAACCAAAGAAGGGGCTCTACAATGCAGCAGCAACGGCACAGAGTCGTTCGCCTCTCCGCTCCACGATGGCGGGCACCCGAAGCAGCAGCAGCAGCAGCAGCAGTATGTGCAGCAGCAGCAGCAGCAATATGTGCAGCAGCAGCAGAAGCAGCAGTACTGTTTGCAGCAGCAGATGCCTGTAGTACCGCCTCTATACCTTGGAGAACTTCCTCTGCACAGCTACAGCCCCAGTTGGTGCGCGACGGAGAGACACTGCAGCAACTTCAGCAGCAGCAGCAGCAACAGCAGTAACAGCAGCAACAGCATGCGCCATGCAGAGACAATGCACTCTGCAGCTCAGCTGTCTCTTGACTCCCCGGAGCCGAGCGAAGTGTCTCCTGTAGAAACTTGTGGTAAAGGCAGCAGCAGCAACAGTCCCCCGGCTCCGCAAGAGAGCAGCAGCAGCAGCAGCAGCAGCAAACCCAGCAGCAGCAGCAGCAGCAGCAACAGCAGCTGCAACGGCAACAGTAACAGCGTCGGTCAGAACAGAACTGTGCCTGCAGCATCGCCAGCCAGTAGCAGCCACAGCAGCAGCGCTGACAGCAGCAGCAGCAGCAACAACAACAGTAGCAAGGATCAGGCGCCGCGGCAGAGACTCTACGCTGCAGAAATCTTCTGTACTCCTCGTCGTCCTCACCCAAGAGATATGCTGCAGTTCGTCCCCTTTGCTGCTGCTGCTCCCTTGTGCAGCAGCAGCAGCAACAGCAGCAACAGCAGCAGCGCTGCCGGAACTGCAGCACCAGCAGCAGCAGCAGCAGCTAGTTCGAGAGAGACAGGAGGTAGTAGTGTCTCCGCAGCAACAGCTGATTGCAAACATCAGCCGCTGCAGCGGACCAGCATCAGTGATATTTTGCTGCTGGCGCAGCAGCAGGAGCTCGAGAGACAGCAGAGACACCTGCAGCAGCAGCACAGGGAGCTGCAGCTGCAGCAACTCGAAATTGAATTCAAAAGAAGGCAGCGGGAAAAGCAGCAGCAAGAGCTGCAGATGCTGCAGCTGCAACTCCACCAAAAGCGTGCAGTTCGGTTGATGCAGCAGCAACAGCAACAACAGCTCCAGGAGCAGCAGCAGCAGCAGCACAGAGCTTCGTCGGTGCTGAAACAGCCGCGAGCTCATGCGGTCGAGCAGCAGCGCCATCAGCAGCTGCTGCAGCAGCAGCAGCAGCTGCCAGTGCTCAGCAGCAGATCTCCTCTCGTGCTGCCTCTCGGCCCATCTAACACCGAAGAACAGGCAGAAGGGGTTGCTGCCCTCACAGCAGCAACAGCAACGTCTGCGGCGTCCCCAGCAGCAGCAGCAGCAACAAGCGTCAGCGGCTACTCCAGCAGCAGCAGCAGCAGCAGCAGCAGCAGCAAAAGCCCCACCGTGCGGGGCGTCGTAATCCCTCGTCTGCAGCTTGCGCACGTGGTGGCCCCGAACCTTTTGGCTGCGAATGCAGCAGCCACAGCTCCCCCAACAGCAGCAGCAGCAGCAGCAGCAGAGAACAGCAGGTGCAGCAGTTTCCGAGCCACCGCAGCACCTGCTGCTGCGCCTGCAGCATTCCTGGGAGGCAGCAGTGCGTCTCCTCCTTGTGCAGAGACACCTCGAGGTGTCTCCTTTAGTCCCTTGGTGTCTCCTCACAACACCTACAGCCTGAGGGCATACCCGCGGCTAGGAGACACCCTACCCACACAGCAGCAGCAGCAGCAGGAGCAGCAGCAACAGCAGCAGCAACAGCAGCAGCAGCAGCAGCAGCAGGAGCAGATGGAAACCCCACTCTCTGCAGCCGCAGCAGCTGTCTCCTTCTTTCAGCGGCTCATAACGAACCCGCTGCAGCAACTGCAGCAGCTGCAGCAGCGACAGCAGCCACAGATACCTGCAGCAACAGCAGCAGCACCAGCAGCAGCACAGATCACCAACTGCCTCATTGCCGAGCCACCCCACAACGAACAAGTAAGGCAGCAATCGCGTGAGCAGACCCAAGATGAGCATGCGCAGCAGCAGCAGCTGCAGCAGCAGCAGCAGCTGCAGCAGCTGCACCAGTCGCAAAGCTCGTATGGTAACTGCACCGCACGGGGCCGGAGAGTTGGTGAGCGCTAGCTAGGAGTTGGCTAGCTAGCGATCCCCAAAATGTTTAATTATTTAGCAGCTAGCTAACAGCTAGCTAACAGCTAGCTACCAGCTAGCCATCAGCTAGCCAGCAGCTAGCGAGCAGTTAGCTAGCAGATGGCTAGCAGCTAGCTACCAGCTGGTGGCTAGCTGATGGCTAGCTGGTAGCTAGCTGCTAGCAGCTGGATGTTTTTGAAAGTTTTTGTAGAGACAGCTCGCCCCAAATGTTGTAATTTCTGTCGCCTGTACACCCCAGAAACTGCAGCAGCAGCAACAGCAGCAGCAGCTTAGGCAGCAGTAGAAGCAACAGGCAGAGAGAAGGGCCTCAGTAAACTACAAAGGAAAGATAGAAAAGCAGAGAGAGACTGAGCAACGCAGGCTGTCTCCAAGCAGCTAGGAGACAGACACCAGCAGATACTGTAGGGACAGCTGGCGCCAAGCGTAAGGGCTTCAAAGGAGGCAGTTGAAGGAGACAACTGCATCCAGACTGTCTCCCCTGTCTCCTTTTATTGTCTCCCTTAATTGTCTTAGACGTATCTATGATCTGTCTCCTTCAATTGTCTCCTTTTGTTGTCTGCTTTACCTGTCTCTAAGTCGCGCCAGTTATTTGTCTCCTTTGATGGTTTCAGTCGTCCCTACCGTCTCCTTTAGTTGTCTCTAAACTGTCTCCTTTAATTGTCTTTAGGCTGTCTCCTTTGTCTCTAAGCTGTCTCCTTTAATTGTCTCTACACTGTCTCCTTTAGTTCTCTACTTTACATGACCCCCTTAACTGCATTTGAATTGTCTCCTTTAATTGTCTCCTTTAGTTGTCTCCCTTACTTGTTTTTTTTAGTTGTTTATTTTAGTTGCCTCGTTTAATTTAATTTAAATTGTCTCTCTTAGTTTTCTCGTTTTACTGTCTCCTTTAGTTATTTCATTTGATTGTACATAGATTGTCTCCTTTAACTGTCTCTAAATTAAAGTGTCTCCTTTAGTTATTTCCTTTAATTGTACCTGACTTGTCTCTTTTAACTGTCTCCTTTAGCTGTATTCAAATTGTCTCCTTAAAACGTGTTTAAAGTGTCTCCTTTAGCGGTCTCTATATTATCTCCCATTCAGCTGCGGGAGTGCCTGCTGCTGCTGCTGCTGCTGTTGCAGCAGCTGCTGCAGCAGGCTTCTTGGCATCCGTCTCCGGTGTCTCTGCAGCTTTTGCTGAGGAGACACTGGGCAGAAGCAACGAAGGCCCCTCTCTTAACCCAGAGACTACTTCCTCTTTCTGTTGTTGCTGCTGTTGCTGCACCTGCTGCTGCTGCACCTGCTGCTGCAGCTGCAGCGGGTGCTGCTGCGTGTATGTCGCTGTGTAGAGGACAGCTTTAAAGAGGGCCCTCCACTTTTTGAATGATATTTGTAGTTTTGCGTCTCTTGCTTTCTCTTGTCTCTTTGCTGCTGCTGCTGTTCTCTCAGCAGCAATTTGCTGCCACCTGATCTTCACTGCTGCTGCTGCTGTCTCTACCACCACCACCCCGTCGCGCACTGCTGCCCAGGGGCCCCCCGCCTCCCTTTCAAACCCCACAACTGCAGGGGCCCAGCAGCAGCTGCTGAGGGGCCCCACAACTTCTGTTGCTGCTGCATGCAGCGCTTGTCCTAAGGATGCGCTGCTTAAAGGAGACTTTGGATTCTCCTGCTGCCAAGCGGAGACAGACAAATGAACAGCACCAATAGGCACTGGCCCCTGAGCAAACAGCAGCAGAAGCAGCGCATCAACAGCAGCAGCAGCAGTAAAACCACACTCCACAGCAGCAGCAATCCAACAGCAGCAGCAATCCAACAGCAGCAGCAGCAAATCGGCAATTGCCCCACAACTTGACGTGCAACGTGCCCCTCAAAAGACAAACAACACACAAAGCTCCTGCACAGCAGCAGCAAGACAGCAGCAGCAAAACAGCAGGAGGAGGAGGAGAAGCAGCTGCTGCTGCAGCTGCGCTGTCATGGAGGGGTAGGGCAGCAGCAGGAGAAGGCGTAGGTGTCTCCTTTTAACTCACAAGCTCGCCAACCTCGATTGTGCCGTGGGGCCCCACAGGGAGACGGCCATTGGAGACACTTTGTCTCTGCATTGGTTCTGTCTGATACTCTGCAAACAACCCCACCTCCTGCGTCTGCTGCTGCTGCTGCTGCTGCTGCGGCTGCTGCTGCTGCTGCTGGAGCTCTGCACGGAGACACGGGTTTTTGGCTGTCTGGAGCAGCCGCTTGCGACTCCACATCTGCTGCAACGCCAGCTGCTGCTGCTGCTGCCGCTGCTGCTGCTGCCGCAGCAAATGTGGATACCGTCGCAGCACTTGAGCTGTCGTTAGCGATGCCAAGTGAGCAGAAGGCTGCTGCAGCTGCAGCAGACAATCGGAGACAGCAGCAGCAGACAGCAGATGCGACACAGGAGACACTTGAAGACAGCAGCAGCACACAGCAGCAGCAGACAGCAACAGCAGACAGCAGCAGCAGACAGCAGCAGCAGACAACAGAAGCACAAACAGGACAGTCCCTTAGGGCACCCCATAGGGAGGGCCCATCGCTACCCAGCAGCAGC